GGCCCAGAACAAACCCAAACTAGGAGGCAAATAATCCCTCTGGAACTCTGAGGGTATTGGGCATGTATCTGTTCACAGAGCTGAAGTGCAATTTTGTTCATTGTGAGAGATAAAAAGAAATGTAATCAATCTTGACAGACTCTGACGAAAAACTCACCACAGCCCTTCATGTTCCAGAGGCTAGCAGGGACTTCTGGGGACTCTGAGGAGTGACTAGACTTGTTCGGATTCAGAAGGAGCATCTCAAGGTGCAGACAGGGGCTACAGCTGCAACAGCAAAGCAGTGGAGGAGGCAAAGTAACACCAGCAAGAGACAGATCCTGGGAGGCACTGAGAGCCACACAGTCTTCATCTCACCACATCCCCCTCAGGAAAGGGCAGCACCTTGTGCCCATTTTACAGGTGAGAAGTAGGAGGACAATGAGAAGGTTGAATAACCTAGCTAAGGGCATACACACCCTAGGCCTGCCTTATTATGAAGCTTATTCTCTGCACCCACCTTCATGCCCCTGCTAGACACCATTGCCCAGCAGAGCTCTAGCCCTTCTCTTTCCGCAGTTCACTATGCCCTCTCACGACCCCTGCCTCTCCCCATTGTGTATGCTCGTTTCCCGCCAGGAGTGCCTTTCCCTGCCATGGGAGTCCGTTTCTAAGACTCCATCCATCTCCATCCCTCCCTTCCCACCCCTAGTTGAGCAGGGGCTTCTGTATCTCCTCTGCTTCCCTCTAGTATAACACTCTTCATCTCTTTCCCCCTTCTTTACTTCCTTTCTCTTCACTTCCTCTTTCCCTTCTTCCTTCCATCGTTTATTCCTTCTTTCAACACCTTTTCGTTGAGCCCCTACTATATGCCAAGTGTTAGACTGCATTTGGAGGGGATGAAAGTTGGGTAAGAAAAGGTCCTTTCTTCCTAGAGATCATTATCTAGAGCATGAAACAGACAAGAGACCGAAAGCTCAGAGTTGCCAAGTATTTCTATATGTCCAGGACTGTGTTACACTCTCAGTTCACATGGCTTCATTTATGAAGTACCATGATCCTATGAGGTAGTGACTTTTGTTTTCAGAGGGGAAAACTGAGGCAGGATTAGAGTTTTAACATGGGCAACTTATCATTAAATTTTGCGCTTCTAAGTGCTAAGAGAAAGGAAGGATTTAATGGTAATGTGTCAAGGGCAATGAAAGTGGACAGAGACCCACGCCTAGCCTGGGACAGATAGAAACCTTCTAAGAGGTAATTCTTCAGAGGGGCATTGGACCAGGTAAGGAGGAATGGGAAGGGTACTGTAGGCAGAGGGCTAGCCTGAGCAAAGGCTTAGAGGTGAGGAAAAGCAAGCCTCCTGCAGAGAAACCCAAGCAGAAGAAGGGGGGTGCTGCTGGGATGCAACACCTGAGGACAGAATTGGGAAGCACAAAGATGAGTTTTAGCAGGAAAAAAACACAGTACACAGGGTGGCTGAGGAGTGTTAATGGGGGACCTATTAGCAAGGATGCAGGCAGAGTTAAGGGAAACCTGTAAGGTCTTTTAGGCTGACTGGTGGTGCCACAGACCCTATGGCAACTCCTGTGACCCTCATGTGCACCTCTAGAGGGCCTTCCGGAATTAGAAAACCTGAAGTAACTGGAAGACCATGAAAAGTGGAACAATCAACCCTGTGGTTACTAACTAACTTGAGACATTCTTCTATTGTTTCTTATTCCAGCCTCAACTGATAAGGCCATTGTACTTTGTAACTGACCTTGTTCAACCTCCTGACTCCAGACCCTACGACTGCCTCCCAGCTTGTAAACCTACAACTCCCTCCCAGCTTGCAAACCTACTACCCCCTCCCAACTTGCAAAAAACCGCCCTAAACTGTAACTTTCCATAGCCTACTCCAAACTTATAAAACCTACTCTTATCCACCGCCCTCCACTGACTCTCTTTTTGGACTCAGCCTGCCCACACCTGGGTGAATAAATAGCCATGTTTCTCACACAGAGCCTGTCTGGGGGTCTCTTCATTCAGAGCATGTGTTTTAACAACACCAACAATGGGCTATGAGACACCTGGGCTAGCAACTACAAGCCCAGGAGCCACCACCTCCCTAGGTCAAAAGAGGCAAAGAGGAGGACCAGAACTTAAGAGAGAATGGTGGCTGTGCCTTTAATACTAGGGACCCCCTCCTGCTACCACCACCACACACCACTAGAGCTGGAGCTTCTGGTAGAGGAACATAGGCCGGGTTGACATGGAGGCAAGATAATAAATATCCCAGCTATGTTTTCCTCCTGCCTTCTGATATCCTTCTCATGCCTCCCAATGGCCAAACCCCTCCAGAAGGCAGAGGGCTCAGCTGAGGCAGTCGGTGGAGGTCAGCCTTCCAGGTCAGAGAGGTAGAGAACAGTGGAGAGTGAGTCCAGAAAGGCAGGTGGAGAATACCCAGCACTTCTGGTTAAGGAGTTGACACTTTATTGCATCAGTGTCAGGGTTCCATTGAGGGGTTTTAGGTATGGAGGCTACATGGTCAGATATGGATTTTAATAAAGACCTCTCTGGCAGCGAGTCAGTAGAGAGAGCTATGGGCCAGAAGGGATGAGCCCAGGAGACCAACAGGGCCAGAAAAATAAGGGCCAATGTGGGAGATGGTGAGGAGCTGAATGGGGCATGAGGTGGAAGGAGATGGAACTTACCCAGGTGAGAGATGAGAAGGAGCTGAAAAGGAAGTAACTGAAAGGATGCAAATGAGATTAAACTATGATTTTTAAAAAAATTTGAGAGGTCTTAGTGAAGACAACAGCCAGGCTTCATATTTGTATAATCAACTGAATTTTAGTGCCAATAACTGAGATTAAAAATAAAAATGCAGGGCTGAACGTGAAGGCTTACACCTATAATCCAAGCACACTGGGAGGCCAAGTCAGGCAGATCTCGTCAGCTCACAAGTTTGAGACCAGCCTAGGCAAGATGGCAAAACCCTGTCTCTACAAAAAATTTAGCCAGGGCTGGTGACATGTGCAGCAGTCTCAGCTTTGCAACTGCAAAGCTGAGATGGAAGGATGGCTTGAGCCCAGGAGGCAGAGGTTTCAGTGAGTCAAGATCGTACCACTACATTCCAGCCTGTGCAACAGAGAGAGACAGAGCTTGTCTCAAAAGAAATAAATAAAATTAAAATTAAAAAAATTAAAATACAAAAGGAGCAAAAACGATGTTTAGAGAAATGGTGACTGATGAGTTTTGTTTGGGACAAGTTGAATTTGTAGGACATCCAAGTGTAAATGTCTAGCAGACATTCAATTTGAGTCCAAATATTGAGTGGTCTCTGTCTGGAGATTTGGAAATTAAAACCACCACTAGGCTAGGTGAGGTGCCTCACTCTTGTAATCCCAGCAGTTTGGGAGGCTGAGGCAGGCAGTCATCTGAGGTCAGGAGTTCGAGACTAGCCTGGCCAACATGATGAAACTTCATCTCTATAAAAAATACAAACATTAGCTGGCTGAGGTGGCACACGCTTGTAATCCCAGATAATCAGGAGGCTGAGGCAAGAGAATCATTTGAACCTAAGAGGCGGAGGTTGCAGTAAGCCAAGATTGTGCCATTGCACTCCAGCCTGGGTGACAAGAGTGAAACTCTGTCTCAAAAATAAATAGTTAAAGCCACCAGAAGGTAAATTCTAGCTAAAACCCTGAGAGTAATGAGATGTCCCAGGGAGAAGGAGTAGCCAGGAAAGAAGACAGGTTGCCTGGGAGCACCAGCACTGCGGAGTGAAAGGAAGAAGAAATCTACAAAGCTATAGACAAGGAATAAAAGACCAGAGAAGACAAGAAGAAAGAAGCTTCCTGGGAGCAGAGTCGGGTGTGATGAATAGCATTAAATATGGTGGCAAATAAGAGACAAAGAGCATCTTCTGCTTAGTACTGTGAAAGGAAAATACCTTGGGACCCCGGGATCACTAAGCTAAAGGGAAAGTTGAAGCCAGAAACTGCTCAGGTTAAACCTACCTCCCATTCTATTCAAACTCATCCCTCTGCTCACTGAGATAGATACATATTCTGATGGCCTCCTTTGGAAAGGCTTATCAGAAACTCAAGAGAATGCAACCATTTTTCTCTCATCTACCTGTGACCTGGAAGCCCCCTCCTTGCTTCGAGTTGTCCCCGATTTTCTGGACAGAACCAATGTACATCTTACATATACTGAAAAGGAAGTAACAGAAAGGACACAAATGAGATTAAACTTTGATTTTTTTTTTTTAATTGAGGGTCCTTCCACCTCCTCACCTGGGCTAGCAACTACAAGATTTATCACCTTGGGCACATGTTATCAGGGCTCCCTGAGGCTGTTTCATGGGTGTGCATCCTCAATGTTGGCAAAATGAACTTTCTAAATTAACTGAGACCTGTCTCAGATTTTCGGGGTTCATAGAACTTCAGAGGTTGTAGGTGACTTTAGAAAGAGCAGTTATGACTCTTTTGGTGGATGGGTTACTGGAGGTTGAGGTGTGAAGCAAAGATAAAGTAGGCATTGAAGATGTAGATTACTCTGTTTAGAAGTCTGGATTAGGATGATCTCTCCTAGGTATCATCCTAGGCTAGTGCATGAGGTTTACAGTTTTAGGGGAACATACAGAGGGAGAAACGGATGACGCTGCAGAAGAGGGAAGATAGTTCATGAAGCCCAGACCTGGAGGGGCCAAGAGGGCACAGATCCTGACACTCTCTGTGCTCTTATTGCCTGATCACTTGTCCATCCCCCACATTTTCTACCAGTCAGGGAGTTCCATATCTGCTGTGCTGAGAGTGTTGACTGGCACACGGCCATGCTAAATCCTTACTTGCTGAGTGAATGAATAAGCGATGGTACAGTGGATAGTCAGGGATATAAGTCCAGACAGAAGGAATGCACCTTTGACAAAGCTTCTGTAACTTGCACAAGATGGCCAAGGTCTAAAGCATGACATCTCCAGCCAGATAATTGTCTATAGTAAGGAAATAGTCAAGATTTACCTTACAGATACATACCCAGAAAGCAAAACCTCCAAACAGAGCAGGCTGAAAGAAGGCTCTTTAGTGAGGGTTGGATTAAAATCATTGAAGCTGGAAACTGACAATCTTCATGTTTAAATTAATTGGGCTCTTGAATAGGACTGATTTTTATTAGCTCATTTCATTTGGCTTAAGATCTTGCTTTTTATCTGGGGCAGAAATGGAGTTCTCTGTCTCGAGACTTTTTCAAGTTTTCAGTTTACTTTTTTTCCCAGAGTGACTAAGGGTTTAGCCACTTGCAAAGAAAGCAGAGAAGGGAATTTTGCTTTACTTGATCAAGGTCTCTGAGGTCTGGAGTCTCCATTACTCATCCCTTCTATCTGGCAACAGGAATACTTGGGTCCGCAGTAGGATGGATCAACAGGGAATTCAATGCATGGCAGCTGAGTGAGAAGCTGCTGGAAAGCAAAACAGGGAAAATAGTAACTTAGGGAAGGGAGTGTGGGTAAATGAGGAAAGCAAAGAATTGGTATTTCTTTTACCAACCAAGTTACCAGTAACTTGAAGGAGCAAAATGCACTCACACCTTGGATCCCAGCCTCATGCTTCCCTTAAGTTTGGGCAAATCTCTATGAACCTTATTTGTGAAATGGGAATGTGTTACCTGTGTAAGGTTTCCAATGGAAGGTCCCAGGTGGTGAATCTGTATGGGTCTGTGCAACCTCAATTCTTGCCTCTTCAGGAGAAAGAATTTGACAGAGTGGAATTACGCAGAAAAAGAGGCAAAGGCAAGTTTCGGAGTGGGAGTAAGTTTATTTAAATGCTTTAGAACAGGAAACAAAGGAAAGGAAAGTACACTTGGAAGAGACCCAAGTGGGCACTGAGGTCAAGTGCAATGTTTAACCTTGATCCTAGGACTTTATAGGCTGGAGTGCAGTGGTACGATCTCAGCTCACTGCAACCTCCGCCTCCCTGTTTCAAGTGATTCTTCTGCCTCAGCCTCCCCTGGCACCCACATTCAATTAACATTTTGGTGCAAAAGGTGTGGACCATCAGGAAATGATCTCTCTCTGGTGCTGGCTGCCAATTTATCACTTTTAGAGGAGAAATGTGATCATTGCTAACCGGTCACCAACATTCTTTGCTGGTGGCGGGAGAGCCCTCTCCTGCCCCTCTTATACCTGTCTAACTACCTGTAACAAAGTCATTCAATTAAAACTTAATTACCCTCTATAATGTGCCACATACTGTTCCAGGCACTTGAAGGATATCAGTGAAAAATAATTCCCCTTCTTCAGGATGTGTTGGGGAATGAATGAGATGGTGCATGTAGAATTACCTGCTGATGATCTGTGACAGGTGCTGAATTGGAGGTAACTGCCATGATGATGGTGGTTCTCATACACAGAAAAGAATGCTACAAGGGTGGTAGTGTACTGACGGTTGATAGTCTCACTTGTCATCAGGACTGTGAGCACTCTGAAACAAGCTGGGGACCATTTTGGAGTTCTGTTAAGTAAGCAACCACTAGGAAGGGGCCCCAAGTAGGGCAGGGACCCAGGTGGGGAAGAACAATGGACAATTGTCCTTTAAGAGATGACTAATTGCAAAAACCCCACCAAAATAGCTCCCTCCAGCACCTGCTTCTTTACAGATAGCCCCTTCTCTGCTGTTGCTGCCTGTTGCAACCTTGCAACATATTTTTATACTTTCTCTAATAAATCTGCCTTTCTTTACCTATGACTGTTTTGGTAAAGGTACCATCTGCGAAAGTACTACCTTTTGTAAAGGTACCACCTGTGAAGTCCACCCTGACCAGTTGCCCCCACGATAGCCATGTCTGCCTTATGAATCTCTCTGAATTCCTGGCATAGCACATGGCGTATAAATATGAGGTCATCAGTAGGAAATAATTCTCAACCAATTATTGCCAATTAAGTTAGGTATCCCTTTAAAGTTCATATTCTTCAGCCATAAACACGCAGTGTCCTAGGGCCTTTCTGACAACTAGAGAAGTTCCAAGGTATTGGGTGCAATGTCTGGCCCACAGAGGTGATTGGAAAACCCAACCAGTTTGTACTGGTCACTTTCTATTGTAGTTCAGCCCAATTTCATTTACTCACCTAGTATTCACAAGAGAGAGTCTCCAGAGCTCCTCCAGTGGTCCCCAGTGTGTACAGAAGAGGGATTAGGCACATTGATCAGAAGGGGCAAGTGCCCAGAGCCACCCATCCAAGGAGAGACAGAGCTGGGGCTGGGCCAAGCTGAGGGAGGGATGTAGGAGGCTGGTCAATGCCCTCCAGGAATATCTATCGTAATGTAGGAGATAAGCCACTCACAGCTGAAACACTTAAATCCACTGTGGCTGATTAAGTATCAAGTGCTGGCAGGGTACCAAGTGGGGAAAGAAGAAAAGAATAAGTGAGGAGGCTGCATAGAAAAGCTGAAATCTCAGCTGGGTTTTGAGTGACCTAAGAGGAGGAGACAGGGAGGGATTTATAATCAGAGAAAACAGCATGAGCAAGGGCTTAGAGGTGACAGTGGGTGTGGCCAATCCAGGGGACAAAGAGGAGAGCCGGACTGTGGGAAAGAACCAAGGTTACCTGACCAAGTCCTTGTTGCATGCCTGCCAGGGCTTTCTATCCTAGTTTCTTTCGCCCCTCCCAGAAACTTGGAGACAGATTTTGTCATTGTTGCCATCTTAAAGACAGGAAAGCTAGGACTCCTTGGGGTATGGCAAAGCTGGAATTTGATCCAGATCTAACAACAAAATCCTTGTGCTTTTCACCCTGCCTAGGTATCTTCCTGCACAGTGCAAAAGGGGCTTCACTGGTGACAAAATCTCTCACTGGAACTTGGGAGATCCTGGTTCTACCTCTGAATAGCTGAGAACCTGGGCAAGTGATTTAGTCACTCTCACCCTCCTTCCCTCCTCTACAATACAGGACAGTAAGAATTCCTATTAAATAAGAGGAACAGCAGTTCCTGCTACAGTTGACCCTTGAATAATGGAGGGGATAGGGGAAAAAACCCCAGTGCACTCAGACTTCTACTCTCCTAAAACTTAATAACCTACTCTTGACCAGAAGCTTTGCCAATAGCCTAAACAGTCAATGAACACATCTTTTGTTTGTCATATGTATTATACACTGTATTCTTACAGTCAAGTGAGCAAGAGAAAAGAAAATCATAAGGAAGAGAAAATACATTTACAGTACTCCACTGTATTTTTCAATTCTGTAAGTTTACATGATGGACAATCAATCTAATATGGCAGCAACTGCAGCTGCAGACCTCAACTGATGCTCCACATCTAGCAATTCAAGATCTTGTATGTCAACTTGTGACTTCGCTTTTTGGGAGCGCTTCCAGCGTCACTATATGGCACTGCCTTTGTATGGGATGCCATGGTGTTATTCAAGATTTAGGGTATTGCACTTAACATGATGAAAAATACTTGAGAACCACATGAGATCACTGTTTACTGCAATAAGCAAATTGCTGGAGAGATGAACTCACGTGGAGTTGATCAGTGTCACAAGGCATTTTAAGTAGATACTCACAACCCTTGATCTCACTGTAATAGCAGGTTTTGGTTGCTACAAAATTATTCTAGTAGTACATATAGTATGTGCTGCAGCTAATCTTATGCAGTTATGATCTAATACTGCATCTTTATATTTATCTACATTTCTCTTGACTGAATGGCACCATGTCTGGTCTGTAAGTGTGTGTGTAAATTTAGATACATTTTAATTTTTATAATAGGTTTGTGTATATTTTGTGGTAATAAATGATAAAATAGACTAATATCTACATATACTTTATGCATTCATAACATACTTAACTTTTTCTAAATTCTCCGTATTTTTAGGCTACATGGTTCATCTGCAAGTTTTTTCAAATTGTCACAAATCTCCAAAAAATTTTCTGATATACTTACTGAAAAAAAATCCACATATAAGTGGACCTGGATGGTTCAAAGCTGTGTAGTTCAAGGGCTAGCTGTATATGCCTGTCTCCAATTGGTCCTGTTTCAGATCAGCCTTGTCTCAGATTAGCCCTGTCTCAGATCAGCCTGGGGGGAAGGGGGTGCTCCTCTGTGAGTTCTCACACCAGGACCCTGGCAGATGGAATGGTGTGGTCACTTTGCCTGTGGAAAAGAAGGAGTATGGCAAATCAGCCTAGCTTCTGAAGCTTCCACCCAGTGACATGCTCATTTCCACTTCTGTAGCTAGCTCAGAAAAACTCACAAATGACTCAGTCTAACCAACGCCACACCTGCTTACCCCGCCTTGACCATTTCTTCCTGCAAAAAAGAAAGGCACCTGCCACAGCGTCCTCCTGCTCCCCCTGCCTCCTGGTGCTTCCCTGTGTGCCCGAGTGGTGTGAGACACCTCTCTTCTTGGTATTTGTCCACCCTGAGTGGTGTGGCATGCCCCCTCCTGCAGGCAACTGCAAGTAACAAACTACTTCTTCAATGGCAGTCATCCCCTGGTCTGTTGGCCTCACCATACCTGAAGAACACAACACAGCCTTTGTACAGAGGGCCCAAAACAGTGAATCCAGGATCTGAATTCTGCTTAGTTTTGCCTTGGATGAGAAGGCGAGGTCTTGGATCTTTTGGTTTCCTGAAACTTCACTGGGATTAACAGAGTTAAAGTAAGACCTGGGGCAGAGAGGTGAGTCATTGACAACTTGGCAGGTCCTAAAACAGAATTAATGTTTGTGTGCAGGTTTCCCATATGCTGTGTTTTTTTGGTGAAGTTTGCCAGTATCCTAAGCCTATGAACACTTTTTCCACAAAATCCCACAGCCTTCTTCTTCCCTCCTTTCCTCCCTCCCTTCCTCCTTTCTTTCTCTCTCTTTCTTTCCCTCTCTCTCTTTCTTTCTTTCCTTCCTTCCTTCCTTCTTTTTTTTTTTTTAGATGAAGTCTTGCCCTGTTGCCTAGGCTGGAGTGCAGTGGCAGGAACTCGGCTCACCATAACCTCTCCCTCCCAGGTTCAAGCGATTCTCTTGCCTCAGCTTCCTGAGTAGCTGGGATTACAGGAGCACACCACCACACTCAGCTAATTCTTGTATTTTTTTTTTTATTGCATTTTAGGTTTTGGGGTACATGTGCAGAGCATGCAATACAGTTGCATAGGTACACACATGGCAGTGTGTTTTGTTTGCTTTCTCCCCTTCACCCACATTTGGCATTTCTCCCCAGGCTATCCCTCCCCTCCTCCCCCTCCCACTGGCCCTCCCAATTCTTGTATTTTTAGTAGAGACAGGGTTTCACTGTGTTGGTCAGGCTGGTCTCAAACTCCTGACCTTGTGATCCGCCAGCCTCGGCCTCCCAAAGTGCTAGGGGGAGCCACCACGCCTGGCCTCCCACAGGCTCTCAAAGCAAGATATCTATTATGCAAGATGGGGAACATCTTTTATATGTTTCCTATGAAATTTGTTTCCTTTTAAGGAATTTTATCTGAAAATTGATTACACGTCTCTACTTTCTTATGTGACATTCATTCAAAAGGGACATGTATAGTCCATAGACAGGCAACCAAAAGGAGATTCACAGTCATTGTGAAGGGCCAACATACACAACCACCTTTCAGCAGAATGTATGAACTTCAGTGTCCAAATGACAATTCTGATGGTTTAAAAGACGTTTGTCTTATTTCTTTCTGGTTTTTTGGAAAGTTGTAGCAATACTAATTTTTATTAGTATAATTAACAGTCAGATGCCTTGACTGATTCTTTACCATCCTCATTTACAGATAAGGCAAAGAAAGATTAGAGAAACTAAACATCCTAAGATTTACGACTAGAAAACAATGGAGCTGGGATTTGAAGCCAGATCTGTATGGCCTGATTTCTCAACCTCATGTCTATGCCAAAAAGCTAACATTATCAGGTGAGTGACTTGTGGATGACTGGGTGCTATTGAGTTTCACCAAAAACAAAGCTCATTTGTAATGCTGTTGGAGTGAAGTGGAATGCTCCT